ATGTTCAATTGAAAAACTGCTTATCATCTCTAAATTCTGGCATTAATAACTATCAGAAAATATTTTCAAATTTCAGAAAATTTTTCAGAAAACTTATAAAAGTATTGCGCCAGTTATATTCTGTGCAATATTCTATGTAATATTCCATGCTAAATAAGATAATCGTTATACATGTTTTTTTAATTAAATTTGATATTGTATCATTATTAATTAAACTCTACAGAATTAATCAAAATTTACGCGGTATTCACAACGTGTCAAGTTCGCCACAATGATGTAACTATGACAAGTTTTCTTACACGCGAAGATACACGAACATTCAGGAATGATATATACACTTTCGATAGAGATTAGATACGTAATCTTGCGGTGATAAGTATTCGTATAAATACACACGTGTACTTCTCGGTAGTACGCGCCACACAACTGCACATATCGAGGTAAATTCAATGTAACATAAGGCGATGTCCCCGGGCTAAAACTGCATGAAGCAAGAATGGGGCAAGTGACATGACGGAGACACAAGATCCATTTGTGGAACTGTATTCGATTTATATTGTACGATTCGCTACCGATAAGACGTCTTGCCACATAATTGGATTTCCAATTTCCAGACTTATTCGATCACAAAATAGCATGAAATTACCTCAATGCAGTAACAAATATTTCATCTCATTATATAAATCTCATTATATAAAAATCTTCATATGTAGAATAAATTTAAGCGTTAAATTTTGTTTAACATAAATATTCAAGAAAATATGAATATAATTCCAAGATTTTTTTTTGAAAAATTTTGACTCATTTTCATCTGTCCAGAATTTCCTCTTATATCATAATTATGATTCATTCTTATTCATAATTTATCCTTCACTATGCAGTAATGGGTCCTTAGATCCGAAGTGAAAACTTTTAGATAATTGTACACTCAGTATGATTGCTAGATAAAGTTCTAAATTGCAGTTGAAAAAACTTTAACCTTTGTCTATCAATTGCCGTAAAGAAGTTTATTTACATTCTGTATTTTAAACAGTTCACTTTAAAATTTAGTAGTCTTCATGATTGAGTTGAGGATTAATGACCGTTATTCAAAATATATGAATACCTCCTCGTTATAAGAAAATTTTAATTAAGAACAAATCGATTTCATATCGATAGGAAATCTTGTCAAAGAAAATCCAATGGTTTCGAAATATCCATATATACAAGGTATTAAAAAAAAAAATCTTTTCACAACGATATATACGTGACGAAAAACACGACAATCGCAAGATCCTATATACGGTCTTTCAACAGTGCGGTCTCGAACCGCGTTGTCACAAAAAGTATCGGACTGATTTATAAGGGTTTCGGTTTACAAGCGACGACGCTTCCATTTCCGCATCGGGACTCGCCGACCAAATCGCAATGCACGGCCGTGCCGAGGAAAGGTTTCGCGTTCACCTATGCCACTGTTCAATTTCCGCGCGACGTTTCAATTTCTGTTGGTCGACGCGCGCCCTTTCGTTGCATTCAATTCCACGAAACGCCCTTCATCCCTCCACCATTTCGCGATGCATATCACCAGATCCTACTATTTTCGATCCGGTGATGGATTAACCCCTCCTACCCAAAACTATCGTGCTGTCTACGATTGTTGTATACGTTCTCGTCAGAAGCTTAGACTTCCGGTAGTGATGAAGAATGATTTATAGCGGAACCATATCGCGCGCGCGCGTCCTGTCTCACCCTTTCTCTGTCTGAAGAAACGCTCACGTAAATGGACTTTATACAAGCATTTCTCCTCTTGAGGTATTGAATTTCCTAAAGAAACACCAGATTTTCAGAGGAATCTAAAAGAACGAGGTAAACTCAACAAGATTCTCCGCGGTAGAGATAACTCAGAAAATTGCAAGGTACGAATCATTCTATATTGTATGTTGCATAAAACATTCGTAATAAATATTTGTAAGAACGTACACTTTCTCTTTAATCTTTTATTAAAAATAAAACATATAATAATATTAATAATAATAAGTGTTATTACACTTAATATCAAGAATTAAGATAAGACAAGCAAAATCGATCATAAAAACTGCAAAAGACGAAAATTGTTTATTTTCTTCTCATAGAATTCTACGATTTTTTTCAGAATTTTTATTAACTTTTTAACATTTGCATTTTCTCATTTTTTTCTCATTTTTAATATGAGAAAATATTAAAAAATAAAAAATTAAAAAATTAAAAAATTCTGAAAAAATTCTTAGAGTTCTATGAAAAGAAAATAAACAATTTTCGTCTCTTGCAAGTTTTCTATAAAGTTGATAATATTTGAGTAAAAAATTATTGAATACCAATTTTCAGCAATTTTTAGCAATTAATATCTTAGTAACTATTGCAGAAATTGCAAAATAGTAGAAGACTTTTCTTCTCAATTTAATCCATTCTGCCTCTGTGTGAAAGATTTATATTTCCAAACACCTTATGTATATCGCTGTTATTTTAAAATAGGAAGATCAAGTGATATCAGATATTTTAAGTTTTTTCGAGACTTCATTTTGTTGGACAGCAAAAATTAAATGTAGATATATACATGATATGAAACAATATTTTTATACTAAAACATTCTTTTAATCGTATTTTTCTAAAAATTAAACTAGTCAAATTGTTGTTGTTTTTTAATTTTATTTTACATTTTTTTGTAAATTTTGAAAGTGATATTGAAAAGAAATTTTACATTATAAATTATTTTTTATTTTGAACATGCAAACATTACAACACATATTTATAAAAAAGATCAGTCCCTTCAAAATTGGTACAATCTTTATAAGCCCAACCTTCATACATATTGCATTTAATTCAGTCTTCATTAAAATTTTCTTCGTAAATGACATAATTAATCTTTCTCCAGCTTGTTTATTGATTTTTTTTAAATGTTTTTTTTACGGCATTCGCATTTTTGTTCTTTATTAACCTTATATTTTTATCCTTATTTAAATTGTCCGATACCATTCGCCACCTCATTATCCAATATCACTCGAATGACGCGCAATGAAAAAACAACGTGAAACGAGCGACTTTAAAATAAAAAGGATAAAACCTTCTAACCTTCCTAACCTCAAGAAGATCAATAACAATATTGTTCATATTGATAAACTAAAAACGATATTCCAATTATGTTTATTAATGTGACTGGTTAGTAAAATTAATTCCATGCTGTCGTAAACAGCTACTACACAACAAAATACACAATAACTCATAAACAATACTATCTCTATTCTGAATATGGAGAGCATATCAGTGGACTCACATATAAGTGGACTTATTAATGGCTTAATAGATGTTGCCGTTTAATATTTTAAACAATCCTTCTCATATCAGTCCAATATTATCTGACTTTCTCCTACTATAAATCATACTATAATATATTACACAAAGTATATAGTATAATATTTCAAAATATATATTTTTTTTAATTAAATATTATATTATACACATCGTGATATTTATATTATAATATAATTTCTTTTGTTACATTATAATGCTTCGATATTTATACTAATATTATTATTATATTGACTAAATGTTGCTAAATCGATATAGAATCAATATTTGTAGTTCCTTTAATGTATATATAATTTCACAAAAAATATTACTAGAGAAATAAATGTATACATTCGAAATTTTACAATTAATATAATTACATTATTAATTTGTGTATTAATTTTTTGTACGCAAAAAAAAAACGTATTTATTAGAAATTGAATATCTTATAAATTGATTTGATGTTATTAGTATTCAATAATATAATAATAGTAATAATACCGATATATAAATAATATTAATTCTATCGAAAATTGATAAAAATTTCTATTATATGCCGATGTTTGATGTTCCCAACAATCAATGGTAATCAATATATGTAAGCAACAAAAATATAGAGTTATATGATTATAAAGAGTATATAATTGACTTACAATTGTCATTAAAATTCTTCAGTATTCAGTCCTTCTTACTAACGATTAGAGACAAGCGCATCGTGTGGATGCAGATGCACTAGACAATGTACTGCGAAAGACAAGAAAAAAAGAGCAAAGTGGAAAGGAAGAAGAGCGGAAGAGGAGCTTTAAAACGCCGTTACGTCGTAACTCGTCGCAACGACGATCCCAGTGATAACGCGACGCTTGAGTTAACAAAGGCTTCTTCTCCGTTTTGCCTTCATACTGCTTCTCTTCGTTAATAATAATGTCGTCCGGATGCAAGGCATGTAGAAGGCCTTGAACGAACGATATTCCACGACTTCTTGAACCGTATTTAATTACTGTCGCGTATCTAACGACCAGCTTTTTAACTACTAAATAAGTAGTGTTATTTTTAGTCTATTATTAGTGTTATTTTTAGTCTATTACACAGCTGAGTTCTATATTCTTGTTATCACAAAATTACTTTCACGCTTATATAAATGATTCTTTTTAATCTATCTTCGAGCACGCGATGTCCTGTGAGACCGACTCTGCAAAGTCTCGTGGATCGTGCGTGCAACCGTAAAGGCAATTACGCGCATCAACAATGATAACGCCCGGCTGTAACCATACGGGTAACTATATCGCATAGTCAGGTATATATACGATGACAATAGACTACCGCAATAGACTACGAGCATTCGCTCGTTTAACGTTTATGTCGTACGAGGCGACCGAGAGTAAACCTTCCAACGGCGTATCGAGGGGCTGATTTACGATCGCAATCGTAATTGCAACCGTAGAAACGGTTGTCGTTGCAAGAAAAAAAAGGAAAGAAAAAACACTCTACTCATTGGCGTCTCGTTGAGCATGATTGTATGCTTATTAATCGTTATTCGACGCTCCGATGATCAATTACAAGTCTCTCGCTGAGTAAGATTAATCGACGACGTAAATGTAAAATAAAATGAGAATTACACGAATATTAAAGAGCAAATTCTCCGACGATTGAAAGGAAAACTTGGAGTTATGCAGTCTAAAAAAAAAATTCGTACTTACTTGCTCATTGCAGTGCCATACGTCGAACGATCGTTGTACAGGCTAGTATTATATCATAACATGTGATGCCCACAGGGATGAATTTAAAACCTAGAAACGAAAAAAAGAAGTTTCGTTGAAGATATATTTTTTTTAAACAAAAAGACGAATCTAATAGGAAATTTAAATTTAAAAAAATCATTCTCTCTCTCTCTCTCTCTCTCTCTCTCTCTCTCTCTCTCTCTCTCTCTTCCGTGACATATTTTTCGAAACTTTAATTCATCGATCTGAATCGGAAAGTCAACTACGCAGTGTTAAATGAATATATATGTCAGGTGTCGTGCGTATATGCGCACGCAATTCCGGACATAGTTGAAGTGCACGAACGAGAATCGAAGTGTATAAAATAATTGCCGCAACTGCTGAACTTGGTTGATGGATTAAGCGGCAATTTGTAATGCCAGGTGATCCATCAAAACTTCGCGAAAGGTTAATCCCGGTTTAAAGACACGCAAACGATCGCGTTCTCACATGTTCGAGTAATGATAATCCTTCATACTGATGATTATGTTAGGTTTAGAGTATTTTCATCTTTAATTTACTAAAACTACAACTACAATTTAACATATTTAGTTGGTGCCACGAGCAATCCAAATATTGTTACCGGATATAATTTCATTAAACAGCGAAATGTGATTCTCGATCCATTAATGAATAATTATGTTAATACAATATTATTCGAATAAAACAGTTCAATTACATATGTTTGAGAACAATCCGATCTCTCATTTGATTTAAGCTATCGTAGCATATCAAAATTATTATATTTCGATTCAAAAGGTTCCGTTTCGTGTTGAGGTTTCCAAATTTCGTGACTCGGACATGAACGAGCAACGGCTGTTCCAGTAAGCAACAATGGCACGGCATCACTGTAATGAACACCGGAATATTCATGAAGCGAGAATGCGTCGACGAACGACGCGAAAAAATTTAACGCGAAGAGTTGCAACTGCACTTCGCGAGAATTGAGCGGACGAATGCATTTAGCGTCGACAATCCGCGAGTTCGCATTTATTTTTTCGTACCACGTATTTTTCCGCAACCAATATCGAAAAGTTCGTTGCGACAACGAATGTGGAGAAACAAGCCTTTTAACGCGTTAAAAAACATATGTATAGTACGTCAAAACAAAGCAGTTTAAGAAGAGAAAAAAAGTTTTCACGTTCAAAAATATAAATATTTTGTTTGCGACCAACTGGATTTCCAACATGTAATGATATCGATGAAAAAAATAAAAATTGACCGTTATATAAAATTCATATATCAATTTTTATTATATATATATATATAAAATACATTTTCCAATTAATTAATGAGCTAATCTAACAACATAACGAAAATAAAAAAATCATCGTTATCTCTTTTTTCTTTTTACAAGAGAAAGGTTTAAGAAATGAAACGGTGATTTTCGTTCTTTCGCGGAAATACATAACGGTAAGTCGTGTCGTCGCAGTCGTTCCAGACATTCCGGTCTCTCTCGGCTTCTTACTCTCGAATTCCACTCGCGCTTATACATGACACGCCGGTACCACCAGCTAGTAACATCCAACAGCATCCGGAAAGGAACGAATCATTCGCTGTTCGCTTGTGTTCACTCACTCACTCGCTCGCTCTTCGTCTTCGTTCCCGACAAATTCATTACGATAAAGACAGTCTCACCGCGCGTACGATCCGTATATAATCGGCTCATTATCCTCAAGGCAGTCTACTTCGCAGACTATCTTCATTATAATGAATTGTAATGTGTACCCCGCAGCTCGAACAAAAGGATAGACGCAGTTTACTAATCGCAGTCTGAGACTGAGTTTCTTGCTGTCGCGATAGATGTTTACAATAGAGACAAAAAATAATAGGTTATCGGAAAATAACTGTCTTAAATTCACAATTGTATATGGCATAATTTATCAATTAGCTTCATATATAATTATAATATTATCACAGTTGGATACATATATACAAAGAGACAGAAGTTTCAGACTACCGAAATACTAAACTAATTGTGGAATTCGTTATCTCAATACCCATAAATGACATTCGTGATTATACTGACAGAATAGCTTTTCTCAAACACTGGAACGAGACAAGTCATTTCCTGTAGTTTTTTTTGGAAGCTGAATACAAATCCAATTTCTAAATTGTCCCATCATATCATAATTTGAAGTTGCAAAAAAGAGCTATTTTCAGATATTTTGTATTATTATAACTACAATATGTGATGTGTTGACTAAAATTCTCTTTGATGACTAAAAAGTCCTAAAAACATACTTCATTTTGATTGCAATAAAATTTTTCCAACACGTCACATATTACACAGTTATAAAATACCTAAAAAAAAAGCCCTTTTTATAACTTCAACTGTCAATTTCTCAAAATTGTAACGTGATGGAACAATTTGGAAACCAAATTCGTATTCATCCAAATACAGCATCCAAAAAACTATAAGAAATGACTAGTCTCGTTTAGATTTTTTTTTTTTTCCGAACAGTATTATTTATGTACTCATAAAGATTTGATTTATTTGCTTCTCACAAATGTACCAAAAATGTAGTCGAAAGTACATGTAGAACAGAGATATAAAAAACCGTTGGGTAAATTAAAGACTAGAAAAACCTTTCGAACCGTAGTGCTCTTTGTTTGGACTGAAAGGCACAAGAGTCTTCTTTCTTTCGCGAGACGCGCGCGACAAGGTCGCTGCCTCCAAGAGTCGGAAAACTGTGTGCGGTGTGGTATACCCGTTTCTAATCCTTCACACGAGCATCTTGGTGTCTGCGTTAGTGTGCTCATACCCCAGAGTGAAAACCGAAGTAAACGAGCCAGTCGCGACTCTGCAGAGAACCGGTTTCTCCTGGTTTCAGAACAAGTAATTTCGTTACAAGCTCTATTCCTCTTGCTCTATCTCACCCTCTCTGTCTCTTTCTTCGACTTTTATTCGAATATAGAGAAAAAGAAATGGAGAGGAACAGCGGGAGAAGGAAAATAAACAAAGAAGAGGAAGAAAAAAAGGAGAAAGTTCAGTGACATCCTAAAATGATTTTTATATACACAATCATTCGGCAAGCGATCAGATCAATGCTACTTTACAGATTTTAATTTTCTACCAATTGTAAAATGATAACGAAATTCTAAACCAAATGAACTTGTTTCCAACTCAAGATCATTAATGCTTAAAGTTAAAACTTTTCTCTTTGGAATGTAAAAGTCTAATCGTAAGTATCAATGTCTGTTTCAATACAAACATCCCAAATGCGAGAAACTAATAAAAATTCTGAATTTAAATTTACAACTTACGAGTGATACAAGAGATGTAACAATTGCACTAGATGTAATAATATTAATAGTCGTTATGTGAATTGTAGGTTGCTGCGTTTTTTCGACAAATACAAAACCACCGCGAGAAACAAATCGCTATTAAATAATAACACATTGTCGAATGTAACATTCGTAACACCTAACATACGAATCGATCCGTCAATCACTCGTATCCGACTCGTAATAATCATCATAGGGTGCGCAGTAATAGACCTTGGTCTATTATTAAATTATCAATACGCGTATAGGCGTGGCACTCCGATGTGGCATTGCTCTCCTGTAACTCGAAGCTAGAGTTCGATCTCTTTCTCTCTCGCAAGACAATCGCCCGTGAGACGTTATTGCGAGATGGTACGCGAAGGAGAAAGTGAAAGCGAACGGCGAAGAGACAGAGTGCAGTAACTGTTGCACACGAGATCGCGGCAGACTGCATTCATCTCGCGAGATTCTCGCGAGTCGAGCGCAACACGTGTACGCGTGCGAAACGACAATAACACACCCACATCCATTTTAGTCTCACAGATGTAAGATTAATTCAAGAATTATGTAACAATCGATTTATGTGTGATAGTCGACCGACATGCGCCATTAAATTTATTCAATTCAAATTATGTAATATTTCCTGTATGTAAAATAAAGTAAATATAGAGAGAGAGAAAAAAAACGTTAATAAAATAATATAATAACTATTTAAGAGAGATTTTACATATAGACACACTACTTTTATCTCTTTCAGTGAAAATCATAGTATTCTTACGTATTAATTAGCCTAATTAAAAATACAATTAAAAATAGGTAGTAGAAGATTTTAATTAACAGAATTTTAACAGATTTTAATCTATCAGAAATGTATACGATTTTTGATAAGTTGAAATTCTTTGTTTTTATCTGTGCTTTTCAATTGTGTTTCAGGTTTTAATAAAAAATAGAAACGTAAAATTATATCTCAATATTTCAATGAAATTATTAGATAAGACCAGCAAAATATGTCCATAAGTTATACGTAAAGTATAGTAAAGAGTTATAGTCATAAAAATATTGATAGAATTTCACTGCACGTAAATCTTATTCTATTGTTCCGCAATTTGTAGAATGAGTTTAAATCAACCATGTTATACGCCTTTGTCCTATATATCAAACTTCTCACAAGGTTGATTTCAAAGTCTATTACTAATTAAAAACAATTAGGAAGAACTATAAAGACTATAAACGTTTAAATTGAAAAAGAAATTTAATAAGAAGTTACAACAAAACACATCGTTCAAACAACTCTGCTAACTAAAAATCGTTTCTTTTAATTCGCTAAAGAAACATTCCAGGACAACCTGTTATCAAACCCAAGAAGTAAATCGCATTTTGAATTAAAAGTACGCTCACTGACTCATTTCCACTCACCTTAACTTTCTACTGACCCTTCTGGTCGCCAGGAAGCAATTACTTTTAATCGAATAATACGCCCGATTACTTTCTCTATTGCGAACGAGTTGTTAACTTCGAGTCGACTCATCTTTCGATCCTATTCAGGTGCCGTCGCTGTAATAATTTATTATCTACGAGAATAATTCGACTTTCCTGCAAATGCAACGGATCTCTTTCATTCACAGGGCTTCTTTCCTGTATAACTTGATTACGTTATCATAATGGATTTCCTGTACAGTAATAATAGCTTGACACCTCATAATATTAAAAATAATAATGTTACACGTAATATGCTTTACAATAAAACGACGTTTTAGCAAAAA